CCCCCCCCCCCCCCTCTTTTTTCAATGCTAATTGAGCCATCTGAAAAAAGATAAAGTTAAAGCTTTTTATTTTGCAGTGTTCATCTTGGCCATAACGTCAACTTTGTTTTGTTGATTGGAATTTTTGTTCGTCTTCTTGTAACTTAGAAAGCTTAAGAAGGATTCTTGTAACAAATTGAGGACGTCATCGACAATATATACTAGCATGAACACTACGTTAATCCCTTACCTTTCTTATGTTATTTCAATTTAAATCATCGCTGAGTTCCTAGAGTTCATTATCATGAACTGAAATTAGTTTCTCAGGGTAGAAATCTTCCATAGCTAGCTCTGAACTATTTCGAGTTAGAAAATAGCTTAAAACAACCAAAAAGTATCTACTATATGTTGGACTCTCTACCAGAATAAGAGAATAACCTTTTGTGATATGCGTTGGACCGTCTATCAAAAATATGATAAAGATTGCCTCCAATGCCGAACTTTCTCTAGCGAAAAGTCCAAGAAGGTTTCTGGGCTTAATATGTGGAATTTTATGGGTTCTAGTATCGAAATTGCTCATGCTATTAGAGGTTGGCTTGGGCGTAGCGATGCAAATCATACAACTAACTGAATTTCCTTTTGGGTGTTGTTGGAGCTGTTAATGGTTGTCTCTATGCATTAGGGGGATTTTCTAGAGCCTCAATAATGAGTTCTATAATAATGAGTTCCATGTGGAAATATGATCCTATATTGGATATTTAGCAATAAGTAAGCTCTATGACTACTGCTAGAGTTTTTAGCAAGACGGGTCACTTGAATGGAAAGCACTATGTTGTTGGTGGGGTTAATTGGGCAGGAGATGAGGATTGGGGAAGTCGTAGACTGGCTCCTCTGAGATCTGCTAAAGTTTTTTATCCAGTTAGTGGTCTATGAGAACTAATACCAAACATGTCATATTCAAGATTCCAGAGGCTCTCTATTTTCCCACCTATTGGAAAGGTGAAGCCTATAGCAATACGATTGAGCTGTTATGTAGGAAAGCTTTATGTGCCTCTAAGTTTGGATAGAGCTATTATGAAGGAAAGCTTTATGTGCCTCAAAGTTTGGATAGTGGGCTAGACTTTGGTGACATTGTAGGTGAGATGTACTGAGAGTAATTGCTAGGTCGATATGCCGGCTGGGATGGGCTTGAATTGGCTAGCGAAGGAAGCGGGAACGAAATT